AACATTTCACATGGATGTCATTCCAGATTTCTTTCAGCATCGGATGCGAACGAACCTCCTATAAGTCATACTTCCACATCACCATCAGCGCGTGGAAATGTTTGCCGTTCAGCGATCAGATGAAAATGAGCTGCAGGGAAAATTTCTCCCGGCATGCTTTGCGAGTTGTGTCTAACACCGCCTGAGGCCAGAGTTTAAGCTTGTTCTTTTGTTTACGTTTTGAATTCATGAAAATGAAAATGAAACTGAAAATGAATTCATGCTGAGTTTACGTCCAAACATGAAATTTTGAAGGCCTACTATTTTTGCGAGTCTACGGAAACTGGCGCCGTCAAGAAACGTTTTGAACAACAAATCGGCCATCGTAGTCTAGACAGGGGACCTCTTCACTGGCGTGGACTTTGACACTATATCTGTCTCTGTACAACCTCGGTTGTTCATGAAAAATGTTGATTTTAGCAACAGACAGAGGTTGAAAGTCAGCTAGTTAACTCATTTAAGGTATATATATGAAAGTGACGGTGTCGAACGCACTCATGATCTTTGATTACTACTAGTTTAAATTTACATGTTTCTAAAGCTGTTAGGCTAAAGCTATCCCAGAAGACATCGCCTACAGTGATAACTTTTTGCCATCATCTACATTCATCTTACTGCGTTCGATAGAACGCAGTTCTAATGGCGTAATGCATAAAAATTCGAGAACTGTGTATTTATCTACCTAGCTATCTATCTATTTGCCCCCCCACCCCCCTCCCCCCCAAAAAAATTCTTCTGGGGCGAATGATGTCATGTCCATGTGCTTTCTTCCTAGTGTTATGCAATATTACGGACTTTCGAGTGTCGAGGAGGCTTATTGTGGACTGTAGCGGATACTGAAGTTGTTTATTTAAAGTTCGAAGTCAGTGTTAATGGCATTTAATAACCTTGTAGACATGTCTTCACGAAATGTGTACGACTTTTCGAGGTAGCTTATTGAAGACTGTAGCGGATAAGTTGTTTATTTAAAGTTCGAAGTTAGTGTTAATGGCATTTAAAAGCCTTGTAAACACGTCTCCACGATATGTGTACGACTTTTCGTACGAACAGAAAGCTGTAGTTTGGCTGCGTGTTGTGTAACCTCTTCTCTTCGACCGAAACCAAAGCTGCTTTCTGCTGAATAAATCAAAGGAGGAAATGAGTTTCACTTCGCTGGCCAAGAGTTTTGTGCGCAAACTATGTAATCTTAACCCAACGACTGATGAGTTCAACTCCCGCAGGGTCGCTTTGGTACACGAACATGTCCACCGTTTCATTGTTTCGGAAGTGAAAATGCCCTGTAGCTGTTACCCCAAAGCTAAGGCGATTCACAGTCGTGTTCGTAAACAAGATAATTGTCCTAGTTTTGGTACTAAAAGCACGTCGTCCCGCATACCGACTGAACATGTAAACATGGTTGGTGTCGATTTACACGGTCAGTATAAAACACGCATTACGGACGGCGGACGGCGGACTGTAGACGGCGAACGGCTGACGACGGACGGCGGACGGCGGACTGCAGACTACGGACTACGGACTGGGTATAAAACACAGACTTATGTATAAGATTACACAATACATGTATAAACGAGAACAAACCCTCTCGTATGCACGTGCTTTGCGATCAATTCACTTGTTTTCGTCCCTGCTGAAGGGAGACCAATTTCATGTCTACCTAACAGCTCAGGCACAAAATGCTGTCCCTAGAATTTTTGATGTTTTAACATACCAAGCCTACCAAAACTCGAACGCACTCTTTAATCTACGATTACTACTAGTCTTAGCTAAAGTCTCCAAACAAGCGGCCCACCAGGCCGGAGCTTATCCCAGTTTCTGTAGCATGAAGCCACTAGTAATATTTCTACTCCCCCTGGATGGGATGCTAGTCCATCGCAGGGTTACCCCCAGCATTAAATTCGCCGGTACTCATTTATACATCTGAGTGGAGGAGAGGCACTGTGTGAGTAAAGTGTCTTGCCTAAGAACACAAGAGAATGTTCCTGGCCAGGGCTTGAATCCGGGTCGCTCGATCCGGAGTCGAGTGGACTAACCATGAGGCCACCGCGCCTCCACTTTTCTATTTTCTAGCTGCCAGAAGCTAGAGCGCGTCGTTGGAGTTGCGTTTGCTTTTTCTTCCGTCATGAGCCTTTTTTTTGGTGGCGGGGCGAGGAAGAGGGAAAGGAAGTGGGCACAAAATGCCCCCCATATATCTCCAAAGGTATTCAATTAAAGGTTATCAAACTCTCATGGTAAGTTGCGTATATCCGAGCTTGTTTGCTGTAGTGTTAGTCACGGATCAATCATGACGTCACAAATGCCAAAATGGGGCGCAGCGCGAAAATAGGCGAGGAGCGCGGCGCGTGAACCTCGATTCTAGCTTGCTGCGAAGCCTCGCACCAAGCCTCTTGCTACAACTCCTTTTTTCGCCCCGCCGTTTTATCGCGCTGCGCACCCTAATTAATTGGAGGCCAAGAAGAGGCTAGTCCAATATTGATTCCAAAAACTCAGAAAAATATGTTTATAAGAAATGTGAAGATTTTGGTATAAAATCGTCGTTAAGTCCAAATTCGAACTAAAACAGAAAATTCGTCTTCAAATTTGTGTGAACCACCCTTTGAAAACATAGTTGTCATAGAAACGTCAAGTCGCGTGACCAACAATCGACACACTAAAATGCTCCCTGATAATTTATAGGAAAAGCCTCAAAGTTTGATTATTACAGGTTGACAGTGTTTTTTTTTTGGTGAGAAAAGATTGAAATAAGCCAGTCTCCACACACCCCCCATCCCCGCCGAGGTGCCTTTTACCTCTGTGTCAAAAAAAACAAGTCTTCGTCTGAAACCATTCATTTGAAAATGTGTTCCCAGTTTCATTTTCATGCAAATCAGTGATCTTTAAATGACAGGTTTCGCAAGGACTCGTTTTCAAAAAGAGGTAGCAGGTAACCCGGAAATGACCTACTGCATAAGGTATTTGCCTCAGAATTTTAGCGATACCTAGTCGCAGATTTTTCTGGTCGGTATTCACCCAAAGTAATGCAGAAATGAGCCTGCAAACAACAAAGTCAGCGTAGGAGCAAACTGTTGCATGTGTTTATTACCGTAATTTAACTACCATGGCGCATTTTTAACTCTGACGTGTCCCAACGTTTTTACTACATTTTTTATTTAGAGTTAATTGAAAAACCGATTTTCTTGTTTATTTGAGATGTACTGTTAAGGACACTAGACAAAGGTCAATTTTGATTAGTTAATAACTCTCTTTATCTTAGTTACGAACGTAGTTACAATGTTTACTTCTTTTTATTGGTTTGTAATCGGACCTTTAAGCGTCACCACGCGCATATAAAAGCTGAGTTAGCGTCCCTTTAAATTAGTTTTTCTTTCCATCTCGCGTGGTCTTGTCAACCTTGAACTCTTGATGCTTTTTGATTTCCTAACCCTTGGCTCAAGCGGGACCGATATGTGAGTACCTTTGTCATTTTGATTAGGTTACGTTTTTTATAACTATGGGCGAAGGAATACAAAGGAACATTTGTACAATGTTGATTGATTTATAATTGACTAAATTAGAAAGTGTTCTGAACGTTACTAGAGTGAACGCCCACCTTTTAGGCTCGAAAACATTGAGCTGTTAATTAGTTCCTTTTGTTGTGTACTTCTGTATCGAATCTTATTTAGTATCTTAGCGTAGTATTTACGCTGGCTATTTTTTGATATATTGTTATTCAATTTCGTTATGTTGTCGATTCCAAATCGTTAGTTTGTCTCGTGTAAGTTTTGACTATTTGTTACGCAACTTTTCCGCTAAATTGATAGAAATTCGTTACATACTGTTATTTCAGTTTACGATCGTTTATGTTGATGTAATAAATCGCCGATAACCGTCAACTTTGGTTTTCCGTGGTTTACTTGTCTACCCTTGAAGACGACCTGTAAAGTAGTCCCACCCACTAGTTTGTCGCGACACGCCTAGAGCTCGTTTTGTTTCGTCTCGTTTTGGAATTTGCCAGTCGCTGCAGACGAAACATGTACTGTATTTTCTCGACTAAGCGTCGGGCTCCGAACAAACGTTCGGTTGAAATAAACTCCGGGTCTGTAAGCTCGAGTTTAATTAAACGCTCCTGTTTATTCGAGATACCATCCGACGTCTACTTGTCTATTTCAGATCCAGGGCTCATTCTTAGTGAAAAGCAGGTCGTGTGCGGCAAAATTATCCAGTTGTTACCAAGTTTACCTCAATTAAATATATATGATAAATTAAACTATTTCGACAGCAATTCTACCTAGAGCCGGCAATCCAGAGACTCCTTGAGCTAACAGGAAGGAGAGTGGAGGCCCGCGTAATTAAATACATTAAATTGATCTATCCTTGATTAAAGTAACATATAAGTTAGTAAACTAGCTCAGCTTTGTTTCTAAGTGCTGTAACTCGTTCATTCCACGTACACATTCACGAAGGCGACTCTGTGGTGAGACGAACAGAGCAGACACCTAAAATTCAGGCTTTGTATGGCCTAACAATTCTTAACGCGCAGCTTAAAATCCACAATTGACGATTTTAGGTACGATTCCGAACATTTCCCTAAACAGCTATCGTGTTCCAGTTTTTCTTCGTGCAAAATGTCACAGGTATTTGACCTGTACAAATTTGTGAACAGCGGCGTTCGTCACAGTTGTTCATGCAATGCATCTCTTTGTCCATTAATTTTTTCATGGCGTGCGTTTTCGTGACCGTCGACAATATTGCAAAAAAAAAAAACCTCCCTACAAAATCACAAGCACTTTATGCCATGGTTATCCCAGAAGAAAAAAATTACACCTCGCACATGTTTTCTATTACGCCGATCTTGGAGAACAGTAACAATATTTACGCAAAAGAGGATAAGTTTCCATTATACAATATGGCTGGTCTTTGTAAGCGTCAATTCGACTGATATCCTCTGCAATTAGAAAAACACCTTTCGTCATTCTAACAGAGGCCTCATAAAATCCTTCATTCGGAGATGTGAGAATTTGAAGCTGATACAATGTGTCTCTAACGAGAGTGTTCTCAGCTTTATCACCCATCACTGCCACGCAGAAATCACATTCATCGTTTGCAGCGTGCTTCGTGTCTCGAAACCTCTGCATGGCTTCTTTAGGCATCTCACGGAACGCGGTCTTTATCTCCTTCAAAACTAACCGCTGACACAACTTTGATAATTCATCACTCTTTGACGTCAGATCGTTGATGTATCCCAGTACAGCTGCCGCTGATTCTTTAACTGCCGGCTCATCAATTGACACAGGTTCCAAATCAAGGCATGGACACCAATGATCTTCTACGCCAGCGCTAGCACAAGTGCGATTTCTCTCCTCAATCCGGGTAAACAAGCTTTGACCGGTTATAATCTCGCTGGGGTATTGTGGGTATGACAAGATGTGGCGCAATGTAGCATAAACATCAAATGGCGATGTTAGAACGCGGGAGTTATGCACGAGGTTATTGTAGAGGTCTGTGTGCTTCTCACGAAACCATTTCGGTGTTGTGATTGACATGAATGGAAACCTCTCTTCCAGTTTACCTTGAATTGTTTTCCTCAACTCTGAATACCGCGCTCCGTGGTCGGCGAAAATAATCAGTATAGTGTTGTTCAGGAATGATTCTTCCTTAAACGTTTCCAAAAACGCTTTTAGATATTCATCTGCGTAGCCGATGGTGTTTATGTCGTTGTGTGAAATTACGGCGTGGGATGAGAACCCAAACTTTGGTCTGTCTTTGTATCTGCGGAAGAAACTCAACAGGTATTTCAAAGACATGTCATGAGATGGTCGGTTGTTAACACAATGTGACTTTATAAGTTTATCAGTCTCGATCCAAAATGGGCGGGCGAAATGATCCGTCGGCGGGTCTTGAAAGCCGTGGAAACGATAATTGAACGATGCCAAGGAAGGTGAGTCTTCCGAGAACATGGTAGCGTATCCCTTTTCTTTATAGTTTTTAAAAATCCACCTCCAGCTGTCCACGGGTTTAGAAGAACTTATTCTCCGCCGAGCTTCCGGTTGCTTTCTCTCGTCGACCCCAGTAAGCATTGCGCACAGTTGAGCGGTGGTTCCATCTCCCACGATCGTCTCACCTGTCAATCAAACAATCAAAAGTCACCGCCGTGCAAGCAAAAATTAACCAGGGGGTACCTCCCCAGGTCAGAACAGTTTTGCCGTTTCACAAAATAGCTAGATCATTCGTTGAATAATCCGAAAAAAAGAAATACAAAAAATTAGCTGCCGTGGATCACATTCCTCAAACAACACAGAACTTGGTCATTATAAGTTGTCGTTTTAGTCGCAGAGGACGGTTACGAAATGATTACGTGCAAAGATTGATAACGTACGCGCATAGCCATTGTTCTGCTCATCAAACCTTGTGTTTGGTTACGTTCTCATTGCTGTTGCCGATGTGGTTTTCTTTAGGTTTCGATAAAAAGAGTGTAAAGGGGCTTACCTTCCATTAACAATGAATCGAGATTCTTGGTCAGATATTCCAAAGTGTTTGGCATTTTTCTTCTAAAATTAGCAGCTGAAGTAGAGTCGAACATGATCAAAGCCACATTCAGTGGAATACCTCCAGGCTTCGTTGGTCGCTCGAGAACTTCCTTTTTGGGAAACACGTGCATATGTACGTCTGATTTCGTCTCGCCCGAAGACGTTTCGACATCTACTCTGATGAAGTCGTAATCTACCGATGCACTTCCAGTAAAAACATCTACAAAAAAAAAAAAAAGAAAAGAAAAGAAAAAAGAATTTTTTTCCTCGGGATTCAGTTGCGTATGCATGGTATTTCTTTCTCCGTGTAACCATAGTTGGTAGAGGTGCGAAAAGCTTTTTTCGGCTGACTGAATGTGAGTGGATTTTTTTCGGGCAGTGGTCGTGTGTACATGAATTTTTGGGGGTATAAGTATGTTTGCAGGATATATATATATATTTTTTCAAAAACACTTGTCCCCTCCCTCAAAAATCAAATGGTCCACCCCTAATATATCTTCGATGTCAAAGGAGGAGAAAAAAATGTCTTCTGGTTATCGATAAACTACGAGGAATGCGCAACAGTTTGGGTTCATAAAACTAAACTGGTAGCCGCGATTAAAATTGTCGAAAATCGAACTTGCGAAAACAATTGGAATTTTTATGCGCTACTGATTTAAACACAGCAAACATACACACACCATTAATTTCTTTCCATGTTTTGCCAATTTAAATGAGTGAATGACATAAATGAGCACAGACGAAGAAACGCACAAACGCAGCAATAAACGAACGAAGGAACGAACAAGGAAGCGAACGAAGGATGGAATCAATCAATCAATCAATCAATGAACGAATAAACGAATCGATGAACGAATAAACGAATCAATGCACGAACGAAAGAACGAACAAGCGAAGGAACAAAGGGACGAACAAATGAATGAATGAATCTATCAATCAAAGAAATCAATGCATGAAGGAAGGAATAAGCTGTTGCTATAATTAACGACTAGATCAGATTATGAACCAGTGGTACTCGTATTAACAAGTCCTCCTGGCTAGTTACCACGTGACGATGCATTTCGACGGTTAAGGGCGGGAAATAAGGAGCGAGGGGTGTGATGGCCATGCGGCACAAGGCGTAAAGTGGTCCATCTAAGGAGGGCACTGAGGACGAGGTAGAGTGCCATTAGCCGAATGGTGAAGAATGGTAGCGAGGCATAGCTACGCACGCAATTATGCATACGATCATTGATAATAATTTATTTTTGGTTCTGGTCCTGAAGACACAAGCTCTGCTAGATGAAATATTTGTCGACAAATTCCCCCTCTGAAACCAAAACAAGCAGCCACCGAACGAGGAAAAATTAACGCCGTAATGACGTCACTTGATGCGGTTTCCTACAAGCGAAACAATAGGCCAATATTCTAACATGGCTCCAAGGCTTTCAGGACAAACTTCTATATTTGGAGGTGTTTTCTTTGTATCCAAGCCTTGTTTGGGAATTGGGGGACAAAAAAAACAAAAAATTTGCAATTTTGTCCTGAAAGCCTCGAAGCCATCGAATGTGGCCCATTCGAACTTACGCTCCAAAGACCGTTAGACGCCATTCGCTCAAATGGTATGAAGAAGCGCTAAAACGACAGAAAAAGGATACCTGAATCGTTGAATAAAATGAATATCTATTGAAACAGTTGGAAAAAAAAAACTCAAAAAAAAAAAAAAACTTCAAGTAGTGATCGAATAACCGACGTGCGATATATCACAATTTCAACATGACACCGAGGCTTTCGGCAAATCGTCTACGGTAAACTGTAGCTTATAAGCCCTGGGGCCCGTTTCCCGAAAGCCCCGGAAACATTACGGGCCTGTAAAGCCAGTTTTAGTTCATCTGTATTTAAAAACGGAGGAGTGTATACGCCTGAAACTTCTTGTATGAAGGGAGCCTTGTTGTGTTAGCTTACATGAAGTATTGTTCAAGTTAGTTACGTGCGAGATGCATGTTGGTTATTAAAGATGGCGTCTTGAAGTAAACACGTGTTGTTCACGGAAGACTATCGTAAGCCGAAATAACTCGACATGGTGGCAGCGGGAAGTTCCCAATAGCCTTTAAACTGAAGAAGAAACAGACAAAACGGAANGTTGTGTTAGCTTACATGAAGTATTGTTCAAGTTAGTTACGTGCGAGATGCATGTTGGTTATTAAAGATGGCGTCTTGAAGTAAACACGTGTTGTTCACGGAAGACTATCGTAAGCCCAAATAACTCGACAAACCTCTGTAGTTAAAAGAATATGTGAATAAAACAGTTCTGTAATCATAAGGTTTGAGATTTTACTGGAGCTTTCGGGGTTCGAAAACTTTTCTGGACTTTCGAGAAATGGGCCCCTGGGCTTATACAACTTCGTAAGGCCTTTTACATGAGCTTATTAACGGAGGGGGTTATATCCGAGGGGGCTTACAACCGGAATAAGAACCCGTTTCGAAACCAGCTACAGCTGCACATGTAGATCAGAGTAGATTTAACATTTACTAAATCAACATCATTTATTATTAACTTCGTAATAAATCCAATTCAAAACAAGAAAAGCTGGAGCATTTCAAGTTCAAAAAATACTCTCCAAATACATTGTGCAGCAATATGGCCTGCATGACGATTTTAGCGCGATCAAATGAATTCGCTTCGAAATGGCCGAGACTCCCATCTAGGAAAAATTGAAACCGATTTCAAAGATCCTGAAGATGGATTTTGGAAGAAAAACAATTCAGAGGGTATCGTAAGAAATTCTGAAGTATACTAGAAATTCGAGGCCAGTGTTAAATTACCCCTCCGATCGCCAGTTTTACCTTTGGCATCTCGTTTATTCCGATCGCTTATTTGCATTGAGTAATCCTACGTGGCGTAGAGCTCATGTGACGGCTGGGTGACTTTGCAGGGATCCAAATGTAAATGCAATTGTTTTGCAGCGTTTTCGTTGAGGTCAAAAAGCTTAGGCTGCCTATTTACCGAGTTAGGATTTCGAGTTGGATTTCGAGTTGGATTTCGAGTTGGATTTTCGAGTTGGATTTTCGAGTTGGATTTTCGAGTTGGATTTACGAGTTAGGATTTTTTGGTTTTTTTTGGCGGGATTTCCAATAAATTTTTAGTGGTTTGATGATTTAAATGGTTGACAGGTCAAACACGACTCCTATTGATCAAGATAGAGCTAGGCAATGGCGTAATGTACTTTTCGATCCTTATTTGTTAAAGCTCGACCTCGTTATTTTGTGTTTCTTTGACGGCAGTTTTTTCTAGATTTCTAGGCACTCGATGGCTAATCAGTGACATCAGTGTAAAATGGGGCTGACAAGCCTACACGACTTCTACGGTTTGTGACATTTGTACATTTGCCGTTCTCTGTTCGGACACTCGACCTTTTTGTTGCTTCACTCGTGTTTATGAAGGGCACTTCATGTTATGTTATATGGAGGAATTTTAAGTAGAGTTGAGCCGTAAGACCATGCTACAGCAAAAGTTTTAGAGGTCATAGGTCTGCATGATTTCCGCTCTTATCTCCATGTTTGACACCCCTGTAATTTGCCATGTGTTTATGCCTTTTTTAGGCTCATTTGTAGTGCAAGATATGTTTTTAAGTCTCCAAGTGTTTACTTTCGAGGGACAAAATATGAAATTTACCGTGAAAATTTTGCTTACTTGCATTCTATATTGTGACGCCGGGCCGGCTGTGATTAAAACTGTTTGCAAGTATAGTGGGTAGATTCTTATCACGGATATTATCTTATTTGTCCTTGTATGTTTTTCTTCTGAGACGCCGTAGCTTTACTTCGAGAAAGCTATACGTTTCTCCAGAAACATTCTTTTGTTTCTTGCAGCTATCTGACCGAGCTTATGTTTCTCGAGCTCGATGTATAGGTTTATTCCACCTTTTGGTCGTTCTGGCACCACGTGATTCAAATGTAGCTGTTAACGCGCAATAAAAAGGCAAAACATTAACCCCACCCCTTCAAGATTTCCTTTGTTGGCTACATTGGACTGGAAATCTACGAGACGGTTTACAAACAAACTAGCCGATTCGTTGCAGCTGGATTACTGGTAACCATCTTGAAAAGACCGACTCTACATCCTTACTCGAAAATCCACCTTGAAATCATACCTCGAAAATCCACCTCGAAATCCTAACTCGGAAGTTAGTTTGTCTCCAAAAAGCTCGACTTAATTTGCACATATGGTGACTGTAACGCGATACTTCTGTTTACGTCTCGGAAAAAAAATCGACTTCCGTTCTGCTTTCGAAATTGGTTTGCTCGTATATCAAGACAAACGGTTTGTTTCAGCATCAAATTGGACCAGCAGAGTAGTTTGACTGAATTTTTTGTTTCGCTGTAGATTTTTAACCTTTTTTTCCCTATAAAGTTCTACGGAGTGAAATTTTTGTAAAAGAAACATTAGTTTCCATGAAGGCAATACAACATTTTTTCCAGAAAGTACTTTTTGCGTCCTTTGGTAAACTGCTCTGCTGTAAATGCTTCGTGAGAGTATTATGTAAAGAATATCATGTGATAGAATGAGTTAAACAGAATGTGTTGGTTTAGTTAACTTGGTTGATTGTTTGGATCATATTCATGGTAAGAGGCCTAAGGCACTGGAACAGTATGAGTGATATAGTTTACAAAAAAAATAATTTTTAGTTCATACAAAAATGTTCAATATTATTGTTTTCAATCGGCAGAAATATCAGAAAGCGGGGGCAGATTTAGTGATAAAGAAGCTGAAGTGCTGCCTCGGAGGCTTCCAAGTTTTGGCAAAGCAAACAATTTTGTTATTTTAACCATTAACAGTCATATTTTTTAAAACATGCCTGAATAAAATTATGGCGAGAAAATAACTTTGAAGGCTAGTCCAGTTTGGCGCGTGCGATGGCGGGACAAAATCATTTTTTACCCGGTCCATCTGACGCTTTTTACAGCCTGAGTTATTTCAAGGCAAACGAGGAATATTGAGAAATACAGATCTTGTTACGTATATTGCAATCAGTAACATTTTCCAGCATGTTGGCTTAATGCGACCACTGCCAAAATGTGGAACTTGCCAATTTTTTTCCTCGCCAAATATTGGAAATATTTTAAGCAAACAAAATTGGCTCTAGTGCGACCTGGGCCTTACCGCACTGTGCTTGTTTTGTTTAGAGCTAACTTCTCGTTGCTCGCTGTTGTCAGCGTGTGTGAAAAGCTGTCATTCGA